ACTATTAAAGGTTATCTTATCTTATCTTATCTTATGTTTACATTTGCACAGAAATAGATTTTTTTTCTGCAGGATTTAGTTAAATGTGACCTCTCCATAGAATTATAATGACTATTTAGAAAAAAAATAAAGATGCTCATTCATGGTCGATCATAGGAGCACTTTACACTGTTTGCCTTTGACTAAAGTGAGCGATGGCACATTGAACTAATCTTAACCTACTGATTAACAGAAAATAAGCTTTCTAAAATTTCTGCAAATAGTGCTGGTAGTGACTCATATAATGTAACAGATTTATGTTTTACCACAGCGACCACACATTCCCAAGCTGTGGATTTTACTTAACTTTGCTTCACTGTCTGGGTTGAATCTAGTTTTTGTCTTTTTAAATGTTCACGACTAAACTTACACTTGCTGTAAAAGTTGAGATTGAGAGCTCACTGCTTGAGCAAGTTTTCATGCAATTTGTCTCATATAAATTGAAGGACAATATTTACCAGGTTAAAATATAAATCTAAGAACATTTAATGAATGAGGTCCCTGAGCACAGTGTTGCACACACAGCACCTCCTGACACAAGAGTTACAGGAAGAAAACTGTTGTGTCTCCATCTGCTGGGTTTAAGATGAAAAGAGGAATTACATCTTAATGTCTTGTACAATGCATTTAAGTTTACAGGGATTTATAACATAAACAAAGATTAATATGTGTTTTTCTCTGATAATATCTGACAGAGCTTTAAAAATCCAGAACTATGTAATGATAATCTGAAACAACTGTTTAAGCTATCAGAATTCATTTTTAATAATATTGTAAAGGTATTTTTGATTCAGACTATCTTTTAGTTAAATGATGCACATTCATATCAAGCATATCAAGGAGTCATTTAAGGTGTGCACAAAATAAGTCACATCAACATGTAGTGAGGATATTTTCTACCCTTTCCCCCAAAAACAGTAAGATGACCAAAATTTTCTTGGATGAATTCAGATTTCATCATTACAACGTTTACTTTAAAGAAAACATTTGCATGGTAGAAAAAAGGCAACAATGATTTTAGTGTGTTGTAACCAATCAGATTCTCTAATCTTACTTTCATGGAAAACTGTAACATTTTATCAAATTGTATCTTAAATGTGGGGATGCTTTTGCAGAAAGCTTTCAAATGACACTTAAATTTATTGAGCTATGAAACATTCAAACCATTTTAGTACATTTTGGTTGATTTAAATCTAACGTGTACTTCGCACAGCAGTCTTCACATCTTTTGTGTAAGCTGTCTGACTTTTCTCTTCAAACCTCTGGCAGTAACCGTTCATTTTTACCCAGAGAACTGCTGCTCACTGGATATATTTTCTCTCTTATTTGGACTATAAGACCAGTAAATCAGCCATTTTTGAAATACTCAGATCAGCTAATCTGAAAAAAAAAACAAAAAAATAAAAAAAAATCCACATTCAAAGTACTTTAAATCACCGTTTTCCCCATTCTGATGGTCAGTTTGAACTTCAACAGGCCGTCGTGACCATGTTTACAGGTATAAATACAGCCTGACACATTTCTCATATATAGTACTAAAATGTTATCAGAGGAATTTAATCTGTGAAGCCACCAGGTGTCAGTGTAGACTCAGAACATACAGACCTGAATGGAAATTACCATTACAATATTCAATTTAAGCACTTGTTTCAATATTTCTCTTTAAAGATAATTTACAGTTTTTTAAGCATTAAGATTGATGATGTGTAGTCTGAGAAAACGAAACACCATGAATTCTTATCTCTCACGTGTCTTGGCTCCACACAGGATGATGGTATTTTGCAGACTTGCTGATAAAACTCAGCTGTCATGAATAGGACATATTTGTCACTAGCCAATTTCTGTGCTTCCACAGAGTATATGTGATATGTGCCATAATGGAAAATACTCCTGGAGAGAGGAAATTGTGACTTTATCCTGCTGCTGTTTCAATTACTCCTACAGAGACCTCACAGCCGAGCACAGAAGGAATATCAAACTCAAATTGGAAAACTGGTAATAGAAATTATAGATTTGGGGATTTATTGGATGTTTTGCACTGTTTCTGGTAGTGACTCAGAGAAAACAGCTATTAAATTGGATTAAACCTTTACTACCAGGGCAACAAACACTGTGGTGCTACTTTATATCTTTGACCATTGTTTATGATGATAATTCTTATCTGAATGGAAAAAGGAGACATAAAGCAAAGTCTACATGTTCTTGCTAATAGGAAATGTACAGAATAACATTATTGTTTGATATGGCATAAATATATATGTGCGTACATTTTATGATCAGTTTCCTATATAATCAGTTTTGTTTGAAGGGTCTTAATCCAGAAGAGGTTTCAGTGTAATCCAACATATTAGTGAAGACACTCACAGTTTGCCTATTTTTAGTCAGGGAGTCAACAAAAACAGCCCAGCAAAGAAAACAAAGGCATTTTACACACTAGTATTATTAGTGAATGTTATTATTATTAATGTTATAATGTTTCTATAGTATGCTTGTCACATGAAATGTGCTGTATCGATAAACTCAGCTTGGCTTATTGCTTCTCTCTGTTTCCAGTGATTGTCTTGGAATAAGCTCTGGGTCATTTTGGTAATGGTCTTTTTATCTAACTCAGAATATTTTAGTCAAACTATTTATCTAATAAAGTATTATTACATGTAAATGATGTTTTAAATGCCATTTGGCATCCAAGATGTATGATCTGATCATTTTTTCAAATGGCCTACATCACAGCTTTGATGTTATCCTTTTTTTTTCTTTGAACAGTTCCACATTTAATGGAAATGATTATGCGGCCTCAAGGAGGTGTTTAAGATAGCAACAGCAGGCTCATTTGCAGCCAACTTGTCCTTTCAGGTCTTTAAAATTCAACCTTTCTACCTGAAGAGCCAGTAATTGGTGCACAGTGCACACTGTTCAGATCTAAGGAGCAGTGAGTCCACTTAGCATGACACCGCAGCACAGCGTGGGCTTTTCTCAGGGCACCTGAGAGCCTTACAATATTACAATTCAACCTCACTGCTGGTCCTGCTGGTAAAAAGTGAATGAACACAGAAACAGGCAGCACTCTGCCTTTTTTTTGCAGCCCACCTCTGGGGGATGAAACAACTTGAATTCTGCAGTAGTCATGCTGCTCTCCCTAACCCCGCAGATATGGTTGGATAGGTCAACATCAGGCCCAGCTAGAATCCAGTTTCCCTCTATTGGTATGCTGAACAGAAGGAAGACAGAAGCCCGTGGGTCAAGACCGAAGCGGCTGCTCAGGACACTTTGATATAATCATTTTTATCTGTGGTAGAGTAGCTGACTTGGCTGGAAGTCAAGGAAAAAGCCTTTGAGGACTTGTTCTGACATTTGGATTTAATCACAGAACAAATCATGGCCTCGAGTATCAGACACATGGGCTGGCAGGGCTTTGTTGAGGGCAATCTGTTACAGAGAGCAAAACCAGACCTAATTATCATGGCTCTATAAACTGGACTGTGTCTAAATATGACACATTACATTTACACATGATGCACTGTGCCATGTTTGTGACAAGAACTTTATCTCCATCACATTTAATGCCAAATATTGGCAAACTATACATGACGTTCTTACAGGAATGTGGAAACACAGACATTAAGAGCATAAATGATCCAACCGAGTAATGTAAAAATCCAGCCGTGCGTTGGTCCTCCACTTTCATTCAGGCTGCGCCTATCGGATAAATTCCCATGAAATTTGTCACAGACATTTATATCCCAAGAGGAAACGCTTTTACATCCACCATGAAGCTGACATTTGTGCTAGTGAGTGAAGTGTCTCATGAATTCCAATCACTTCAGTCGAAAATCATAAAGCGAGGTTTATTATTCATGAAAATGATGAATATAGTCCCTTCTTTTTAAAAAGAAAACTGCATAAAAATAGCAGTTGTAAGCATGGCATTTCACAATTTCAGATGTGTGGTGAATCTGAAGACATAATCATCAGTGAGCAGTAAAGTGGTCTGTTAGCCCAGCGGTCTCCAACCTTTTTTGCGCCACGGACCGGTTTATGGCCAGCCCGTTCTCACTCCCGAGGCGTAACATGCCGACGTTTTGTCACGTCCCGGGGCGTTGCTGAGGTACGCAAAAGGAGACCTTCGGCGTTCTTATGGTACGCGGCGGGTTGTGGCCGAAATCCAGAGCAATGACGCTCCGCGGTAATAGACGTTCCAGCCCTGTATTCCAGCCCTAAACCTAACCTTATCCCTAGCCC